GTGTTAGCATCTACACCGATGACGGACTTGCTTGATGACGGTGTCAGCATATACACCGATGACGGACTTGCTTGATGACGGTGTTAGCATCTACACCGAAACGTCGCATCCGTTCCAACAAAGAAGTTGTCTATCGTTAAATAAATCGTTCATGTTCTGATAAGCATCGTTGATCTCTCCTCCGCTCATCTGGTCGGTCGTCCGTCGCTGCTTCTTCTTCTTCTTCTTCTTCTTCTTCTTCTTCTTCTTCTTCTTCTTCTTCTTCTTCTTCTTCTTCTTCTTCTTCTTCTTCTTCTTTTTTTTCTAGTGATGCTAGTTTATGTATTTTTTAAATGAATCAACATTGGAATATAAGTATGCTTGTCAGTAAGTATGGAGAATACAAGTTATCCTGCCCCATGCATTTTAGGTTTAGTTCGACGGAGAGCTCAATACATATGTGTTCCGTTGTCGTGGATACGTCTATATTGTGGTCTTGGCATACGTTTGTATCATGTTCTAACATTCTCCGACCTTCTTTCATCTCCTGCGTAAGCCTGAGTGGAGGCATATTTGCTCCGATAAATGATGGCCGTTCAGTTTGTTCAAGAGGTTCAAGTCCAATATGTCACAAAGGCAACCTGATTAACAAAAAATCTCCTGATGGTGCTATAACAATTGTAGCTATTTTGGTCCAAAGTCAAATGATTTGTAACTATTTCTGATGACATTTTGTCGACACATCACATAGAGGTGAGTGTATTCTTGCAATATTTAATATATTTATCTTTGTTCTGACCATGCTCCAATAGATCTTGTCAGCGGAAATATATTTGTTTCCTTGACCAGTGGTCAAGGATGGATACAGAAAGAACACCTAACAATAATTACAAAGAATAAATCAGAACAAACAAATATTTCGTTGATTAGTTATCCAAAAATGAGACAGTATGACCTTGGTGATGTTTTTTGTCTGTTAGCGACTACAGTAAATATTTCAACAGCTGTATGTTAGTTTTTGACGTCATGGCTCTATTCCTTGTTTCTGAACTAATGGATATATCGACGTGAGCTGTAAGTATCATGTCGTGACGTCCTATCATGCTCAGGGTTTGATTGATCGGGGTAGTAATCATCAAAGATCATCAGTTGTTGGTGTGGTGGATGGATGGTGCAGGGGCGTGTGAGGTTGTGGGGATATGGGGGTTCTAATGGGAATTCTAATCCTGGATGTGCCACTGAAATCGTCTACATTAAGTAGTACAGTAAATTATATAGTGAGTGAGTATTGTTTTACGTTTCAGAGCTATTCTTGCTCCTTCATCACCTATTTTAAAGCATTTACTGTTAGACGAACATGAATCACCTGATGAAGGAGCAAGAATTATCTCTGAAACGGCGTATAAAGATTAAGTAATGTTGTTATTAATAAAAACGTGTCATGTATTCATGTTCGTCCAACTTCTAAATGCCTTTTAAGAACTTCATTCGAGATGAGGCAATAAGTGACATCAAACAGTAAATTTCAAGCAGTATCTCTGAGGAATGATCGCATCCAAGAGCGTAGTCTTACATGTAATTTGTTTCGGAAAATGACATCTGATGTTGCATACGCTAAGACGCAGATGGGAGCAGCTCTTTCATTTATGGGTTTGGAGGTGGTTGGAATATTTCGAAAAAACTAGAACGGCAGTTGAGTTGAATTTGTTTAACATATGCCTTGCAATTGTAGAAAATATATTGACCTCCTAAAAAGCATGTAGGTCTGATCCAAAACCAAAATCCTGAGCCTCTTTGCTCTCTTTGGGTGATCCCTTGTGAATTTGGACATACATGCATCTGCGTTATAGCAAAGGTAAAGCAACTAGGGATCTGAGTAATGTATACATAGGAAATCACCATTACCCTGTTTTGACTTCCTTACGAACAACCCGTGAAGGTCCGGGTTAGAATATTGGTATTCAGTAACCCATGCTTGTCGTAAGAGGCGACTAACGGGATCGGGTGGTCAGGCTCGCTGACTGGGTTGACACATGTCATCGTATCCCAATTGCGTAGATCGATGTTCAGGCTGTTGATCCCTGGATTGTCTGGTCCAGACTCCATTATTTAAAGACCGCTGCCATACCTTAGAGTCTTTGAACGGCATTAGAAGTGATGTACATAAAAAATCTATGGATGTCAACTCAAAGAAGCTGACATCCATAAATATTCGCCTTTAAGATACAGATACAGATGCAGACAGATTTATTCGTATAAGTGGCCCTGAGGCCAATAGTATATGTGTAAAATAATAACCTCTAAATAAGCGAGTTTTGGAACATCAATAAATCCATAAACACCCATTTACAATTTACATTTTTTCTCTCAACCTAAGTATGTGGTACAACACAAGGGCTACCTTAAACAACAAGTCAATATTTTCTGTGCAAAGTAGCATACAGAATTTATGTCTCGACGGTTGGTTGTAGAAAAAATAAGGCAAATATGTTTCTCTTATTTCTAAATATTTCGGGCATATAAGTAATACATGGTGCTCATCTTCTTCCGATAAATTGCAGAATGGACATTGGATATCTATTACATTTGAAGTTTTGGCAAATCGTGCCGCTTGGACTTTGAAGCTGTGAGCGTTACATCTAAATTTAGTAAGCGTACGCTTAAGTTCTGGTGATTTAATCTTTTAAAGGTAAATTTCTGTATTTTAATAAAATATTTATATTCTGAATAAACGTTGACACAGGTTGATGACGTTATTTCATTATACCAGTCTTGTTGATAAATGTCTTTGCATCTCTGCTTGAATTCTTCGATGAAATATTGTGGATTACTTACATTTTGAGCGAGCCATTCATTTCCAAAGCCATGACTAAAAAGAATAGTTCCACGTCAGCAGATATGCTCAAGGCGCAAGAATGACAGATTAAAAGAGTCTCCCACATTTATACAGCAATATGTACACGTCCAAATACATAGCCACACACACTCACATACACACACATCATCATCTGTCTTATAATTACAATGAAGCGAACATCCAGTCAATTGTCTGTTTCTTCAAGTGGTCGTTAAAAAGATTATTTTCAAAAGTGCAGACTGTTAATGTTGAATGTTGAACAAGAAAGGGAGATTAACACAGATATCGCTCCAGGGCAGACTTGCAAAAACAAGCACCAAAGAACAAAGGAAACAATGTCTTTGATAGGTCTAGAGTTCAACAGGAGGGAAGGGCATGAAGGGCCATGGTGGCAGTTTCAACATTAATTCCCTTAGAGACTGCAAAGTGCTCATCTCGGGCGGAGCGGTCGTTTATGGCGCCGAGATTGGAGATGAAGGATTGTGTTATTCAATTTCCCAGGGTCTTATAAGCTCTGCTTTGAATTCCCGATTGCCCTTATTGGGATTCTTGGTTTTTAAGGCCTCAGATCTTTGGCCGTTCCTCCCGGTAGTAACTGAATTACCGTGACAACCTAAGGTTCTCTAACACAGTGGTCAGTTCTCTGACATCTATAATCGACTAGGACAGATATCGCACCATGCATCTAGCTGCTCCAGGTCAGTCCTATGAATGGTATTGCTCAACTGGGGCAGATATGGCGCCTTAGATGACCAAGGTCCAGCTTAGTGGTCCGTTCACTCAATCTTGATGTTGGACCGTGATATGCGCGAAACTCAAGTCTAGGCCAGTGTCAGACATATATATAGAGCTGTTTGACAGGCATTCTAAAAGTTGTAAGTTATAGGAATGACAAGTATTTATGAATGATCAACTTCTTTACTGTACAATAGCGACGTTTCGGTTTATACATAGATACTTGTACCGTTTTCAAGCATGGTTTTCGTCGCTATTATGCAGTAAAGAAGTTGATCAACCACAAATACTTGTCATTCCTATAAATGAAGCTAGCTTTTAGTTACATGGATCTTCTACACATGACTACGACACTTGTATCTAATCTAACGAAATATCCTATAATTTTGAGTAATCAGCCTTGCAAAATGTATATGTTATGCATGTAAGACCTCTAACGCATGTGGTCAGTTCTCTATTAATGCTATGGAACTCTCTTCCCCATTCATCTCAGATGCGCTCCTTCCTTGACTGCCTTCACATTTGGCTTAAAGACCCATCTGTTTCATAATAACTGACAATTGCTCATCTTTTTGAATGTTTGCGCTTAGAGCATGTCCGTGGAGTTAAGCGCTATATAAATGTCCTTAATATTAATTTATGTTCTGTTAATCCTATTTTCGTGTTTTACCTTAATTGCAAAACGGAATACAATGTCCAGTTCCATAAATCTTATATACATGCCATAACGTTAAGTACCCTTACGCAATGGTCAATGTTATGAATCTGATACATATGTCAATCCTTTAGGTACCTTTATACAATGATCAGTTCTATGAATCTAATAAACATGTCAATATTTTAGGCGCCCTTATACAACGGTCAGTTCCATGAATCTAATAACATGTCAATATTTTTAGCGCCCTTATACAATGGTCCGTTCTATGAATCTAATAAACATGTCAATCTTCTAGGCGCCCTTATACAATGGTCCGTTCTATGAATCTGATAATCATGTCAATCTTTTAGGCGCCCTTATACAATGGTCAGTTCTATGAATCTAATAAACATGTCAATATTTTAGGCGCCCTTATACAATGGTCCGTTCTATGAATCTGATAATCATGTCAATCTTTTAGGCGCCCTTATACAATGGTCCGTTCTATGAATCTAATAAACATGTCAATATTTTAGGCGCCCTTATACAATGGTCAGTTCTATGAATCTGATAAACATGTCAATATTTTAGGCGCCCTTATACAATGGTCAGTTCCATGAATCTAATATACATGTCATTCCTTTAGGCACATTTATACAATGGTCAATTCTATGTATCTAATATATATGTCAATCCTTTAGGCAACTGATATATACCCTGGTCACCTCAAACATGTCCGAAGCTACCCTTCAACATGTGGCCAATCGATAAAGAGGAACCAGTTTTACTGACCTTTCCATGCTGACATAAGCACTCCGGACAGTCCACTGACGCCTGCAAGAAAGGAAGACACGCAGAGCACGGGTAGAGCGTTCTTGAGGGTTAAGGTGCTGGGTAGAGTCCGCTGACAGTAAACCAAGAGTCTCACATTTCCAACGATGACGAAAACCAACAGAGTGACAGACACACTCACCCGAACGATGTCTAATTCCTCGTCCATAATTGTAATCCTTACGCTGTTTAAGCTGAAGCAGTATCAGTCACAAGCCGTACATGTCCACGGCATCACTGATGAGGAAAGGATAATCCTTGATAATCAGGATAATCAAGTTACAAACTTGCCAGACACCCCGACAAAAACAACGTCAAGGTCCTCAAGAGCTGCTGTGACGCTTCCAACGAACATGCTGGAAAAGTTCACAACAGACATCAATGATTAGCTTCTCACAGAAAACATTAGCACCGTAACGTCAATCCTGAACTTTGTGACATATGTCCTCGTCAGAGAAATTAGTATCGATGAAACAATTAATGGCCGGATGTGGAATCCGTGATACTGTGTTCTACAAGCAGGGACGCTCGTCTCCACTCACGCACATGATCAACAACACTGTCGGTCCACGCGAAGGCTGCTGCATATAACTGCAGCCACTGCACGTATCTGGGGCTTATCTGATAGGACCAATCATCGATTGAAGCTCGCCTATTCCACACCTCATACCTACCGCCTAGCGTTACACTGGCCGACCAGGGTGAAAGCCAGTATAGTTTAAACGCTGTGGGTTCGGTGGCAACTTCGATTTCTTTTCTTACAATGCGGTGGCTGTAGCAGGCTCTGCCATCTGTTGCTGGTGGGATGGGATTTCAGAACAAGCATTGCACAGCTTGTCTTGGATGCTGGGAGGTTAATGTAAATGTTTATTGAAAGGATTATTCTTTGTATCGAGTTTGATCCGTTGATATCTTTTACTGACACTTTTACACATTATCAGGGATCGTTTATTTTCCATGATGAACAGGCTGAAAGAAACACCGACGTCAATAGATCTGTTTTCATTCACGCTGGGTGTGTCTCAGTTGAATGTTATTTTACGCCCCTGTCAGCAAGTTTCCAGCTGTCGCACGTTCCTGAACACGATCAGAGTGAGTTTGGTTTTACGCCGCTTTTAACAATATTCCAGCAATATCACGACTGAGGACACCAGAAATGGGCGTCACATATTGTACCCAGGTGGGGAATCGAACCCGGATCTTCGGAGAGACGAGCGAACACTTTAACCACTGGGCTACCCCACCGCCCTTCTGATCATGCTAGGGGGTGTAGGGTAGCCTAGTGGTTAAAGCGTTCGCTTGTCACCTGGTTCGATTCCCCACATGGGTACATTGTGTAAAGCCAATTTCTGGTTGTATTGCTAAAAGAGGCGTGAAACTAAAGTCATTCAATCACAATGTTAATCGTCTACCTAAAAATATGCTGTGCACTCACTCTGCACCAGCTGTGGTCGGGTAGCATAGTGGTTAAAACGTTTGTTCGTAACGCAGAAGATCTGGGTTCGATACCCACAAGGGAATCATGTGTGCAGTTCATTTCTGGTGTCCCTCAACGTGATATTAATGGAATATTGCTTAAAACGGCGTAAAATTAAATTCACTCAGTGACTCACTCTGTACAACTCATTCTGATATTTCATAATACTTCCTTTTTCAATGTGGGATTAACGCCAGGCCTCATCCCTTGTTGACTATTATCCTTCAAAATGCATTATGATGTATTGCCAAATGTCCTTAAAGACGATCACAAATGGTATTTTTAACTTCATCCCCGATTGACATCCAAAGGTTGATATGTAAGCTACGTATTTAATATTTCACCGCCTGAGTGGAGAAAAATCAATTCCGACTGGTGATTGTTACGGTATCAAATCACGGTGCTTTTGACGGGCGATTTCTACAGTGTCAGATGAACTGTGTGGTGCAACAGAGATGTTGACAAAATAAGTGTTGGTGTCGACTCCGCATGAAGAAGACATACGTCACGCATTCCGTCACTAAGTGCCCCCTTAATGCGAGAGAAAAGACGGAAAATAAACACATGCTTGACGTTTACCAATTTGGTGACACCCACTAGCAAGAGAATGGTGCCGACAGGTATCGTAATTGGCTGAGTGAATGGACTGAGTTTTACGCCGTTTTTATCAATTTTAGGGACACACGAGAAGGGTTTCACATATTGTACACGTGGAGGGAATCGAACTCGGCCTTCATCATGATGAGCGAACGCTTTTATCTCTTGTCTACCGTCCGCCCCCGTTCAGTGATAGGAAGACCATTTGATTCTGTTACTGCTAAGCAAGATCGCATTGCAGGTTGCAAACTTAAATTAAAGTATTTAATTGAACAGGGAAAAAAATTTAACCCGTTTCCCATTTATTCCATAATTGCATCCCATTATGTTCTGCACAAATTCTGGTGTATTTAAAAAAAAATCGCTGAATTCATCTAAAATGAGGACCGTTTGGGGTAGACATAACGGACGAGATAGCCTTACGCATCTCTTCTGTTCTCATTTGGCAACAATGCACTCAATGCCTCACGGATACTTTTCGAGATATTCTATATTTAAGAAATAACAGATTTAATAACACCCACTTTCGCCGCCGTGCTGGCTATTTCTTTTATTAATGTGTTTATACCTGTATGTAGTTACATGTCATTAAATTCTCAGGATTCAGTTATTTAAATAGCAGCAAGCAATTATCACGTACACGATACAAGTATACTCATGCCAATAATGGTTGTCACCCCCTTCAATGTTTTTAATTGGAGAGGGGGTGTTGGGTGAGTGTGTGAGGTGTGTGTAGGGTCGGGGTGGGAAGGGGGGGTGACAACCATTATTGGCATGAGTATATTATAACAGCATACTAGTGGGGGTTCCGTGTTAGTAAGACCATTGCAGCCAATGTTTTTGTTACTCCTCTTCAGACAATGATTGGTTTGCTTTGGTGGTTGTTGTGGCGCTCAACATTATTCCAGCTATATGGCGGCGGTCTTTCAATAATCGAGTCCGGACCAGACAATCCAATGATCAACATCATGACCATCGATCTACGCAATTGGGATGCGATGACATGGTCAACCAAGTCAGGAGCCTGACCACCCGGTCCCGTTAGTCGCCTCTGACGACAGGCACGGATTTCTGAAGACCAATTCTAACCAAGATCTTCACGGGTTCTTATGACAATCGTCTCGATGACCGGAAAATAAATTGTTGTCGTTTCCAGATGGCGGGGATCGTTGCTCACAATGCTGATCACTGTTTGTTTCTGGTCTATTATTATACAGAGGTCACCATAAATATTTGATACATTGCTGAGAATATTGCTTACGTGCATTTTTTTTAATTCGATGCAGTTTTTGTACTCAGAAATAGATTGTATATATAGCGTTCTTTTCGCCTCTGTTAGTCTGATTGGTGTCCTCCCACAAGAACTACATCCCATAAAAAATTCAGCTTGAAACAACACATGTAATGGTGCACAGATTCACTACATGCTGTCACCTGCGTCTGCTTAATGGACTTGCCCAACAGAAAACAAATAAAACATATATAACATTTTAGCTGCGGCAGTTCATGTTGGTTTTGACAGTAAATAGTTTGCCTTCACAAAATGTAAATTTACAGCCTTCATTAATGATTGAACAAGTTCCACATCGAGGTGTTTGACATTTTGTTACACTGGCTGACAAACCTTTTTTCATACAAAATTGGAAGGTTTGCTTTTATAATGGGCATAATTGTACAGTTATTATTATTATAGGTACAAACAAATGGAAGAATTTCCATCTCTGTATTTGTTTCTTTTGTTTTCATAAGTGTCTCTCTTGGGACCTTTACCGCTTTATGAACAGCATTTTCAACTACCTAAGAAGATATGTCTTATATATCTATTACATATTACCTATTGTCACTAACTGTAACGTCAAACGCATGATGACGACATAGCTACTACCGTTTTGCGTCGCCTATGACGACACTTAGTTTTCATTGTACACATGAAGTAGCCGTTGAACGGCGAAAGATTTTGTGCAGATAAAGTCTGGAGTTTTATATATAGATGTATAGACAGTTCATCTATAGATAGGCTTATATATTTAGTGTGATAATGTAGTGTCACTTTCATCCTCAGTGTTCAATCTGATCCATGAAGAACTAGTTTAGCCCAGCTTCAATAAGTAGCCAACTGCATCGAGGTCCTGGATTGCAGTCTATAACAATATTATTTTAACTTAAAAACTCATTCGTCTGTATTTCACCTTTACTCCAATATACCTTTACCTTTACTCCAATACTTAGTATACTAAGCTTGTTTTTTTCTATCATATGAATACAAGAACATTCACCAACTACAGCATACCCTTCTCTCTTGTCCTTTACTTTCTGGTTATTAGATTACCTTTACAACAACATAATTACTGGTCAATAGGATTTTAAACTTGTAGTTCTTCTGGGAGAGCTGATGGGCTATGCTCATTACTTGCCATGGGGGTGCATCTACTCAGATAATGAATCCCTAATTAACCCCTGTAGTTAAATTGGGATGTAGTTAAAAAAATGGGATGTAGTTCTTATGGGATTAAACCGTCTGATTACAAGCTATTCCAAAACATGTTTTCCTTACATATTCTCAAACACGGAGTTTTGAAACCAAGGAAGTAACGCAAAATACGTTGAAACAAAAATCTTCTGCAGAAACAAAAATTTTGAGAAACATCGTGTCACACTGCTCGCGTGGTCATGACTAATCTCAGATAAATCTCATTCTGAAAATAGGACAAACCTGACACGTTAGAGAGAATATGGACACCCACTTAGGGCAGAACAAGTGATAACCTTTAGGTTTTAGCGATAGTTGTACATACAGCTGACAAATGGATATTTGATATCAGTATCGTGCATTCTTTGCACTCACATTGTGGGCAATTGAAAAGGGTAAGGGTTACAAAAGATATAATACAAAAATAATAGAATAAAAGACCTGTATGTGAGTCGCTAGAAAGTTAATACTCATATCTCTTATCCTACCGGGTACCCATTCACTGCTGGGTGAACAGAGGCAATGTTGAACAAAGTCACTTGCCTAAGATGATAATACATGTGTCACGTGCTTCGTTGTGGGGCAGGACAGAACCCTTGGGACTTGCCTAAGATAAGAATACATGTCTCGCGTGCTTCGTTGTGGGGCAGGACAGAACCCTTGGGACTTGCCTAAGATGAGAATACATGTCTCGCGTGCTTCGTTGTGGGGCAGGACAGAACCGTCAGAAGTCAAGCAGTCAAACACGGTCGCCGTGACCAACGTTGCTTAACTGCAACAGATTTCTGTGGTGCACAACATCACACACCACCATATACTGGGCTACACTATTGCCGAGTAAAGATCTCTACTTGTAACACCTTGTGTCTAAATATTGACATATTATGCCGTACGTAGTGATAACTGACCTCACTTCTTCGTTTACTGTTCGAGAGGAACAATAGCACAGCACAGTGCAATGTACAGTGCTCACCAACAATCATTTGTAGAATGCGCCCCCACGTGAGGGAAATATTATTTCGTATATTGTGCGTAGGACTACATTGGGTAATGAAG